TTTGTGCAATCCTCTTTGGATTCCTTTTGTTTGGGGTTCTGTGTGCTTCCTGGAATTTTAAGTCTATTTCTTTCAGCAGATAGGGGAAGTTTTCAGTCATTATTTCTTCAAATAGGTTTGCAGTATCTTGTTCTCTCTCTTCTGGCACCCCCATAATTCTGATGTTGCTATGCTTGAAGTTGTCCCAGAGGTTCTTATACTATCTTCAACTTTTTGGATTCTTTTTGCTTTTTGCTTTTCCAGTTGAGAGTGTTTTTTTGTTTTGTTTTGTTTTTTGCTTCTTTGTATTTCAAATCTTTGACTTGATTCTTGGGATCCTCTAGTCTGCTGTTGGGTCTCTGTAATATATATATTCTGTTTCCCTGAAAATAAGACAGTGTCTTATATTAATTTTTGCTCCCAAAGATGCGCTAGGTCTTATTTTCAGGGGATGTCTTATTTTTCCATGAAGAAGAATATGGTACACATTTATTGTTAAATGAAAATAAAGGAAATTTATTACCTGTATACCGTATGATAGTACAGTAGTTGTCAACACAAACCAGACAAACTGTGAATCCTACAGTATCAAGAATTTACTCATTTATTCAATAACAATCATGTCATCATCTTCTGAAACATCATCATAACAATCCAATTTCTGAATTTCTTGTGACTCCATTTCTTTCAGAATCAGTGGACCAAATCTCAAATGTTTAGCAATAGCACTGTCTTTAAATGAGTACCTCTTGTCAAGGTAGCCTGTTCGCAGTGCATTTGCAATGCAACTGTCAGTGATTTTCTCCCATGAATTCTTCACCCAAGTCACAACTTCTTGCAGTTTAGGTTTCACAGAGTTTCCACGCTGATTTCTTTCCATTCTATTTTCAATGTAGTCATTAATTTCCATGCTCAAATTGTCTTTGAATGGCTTGTTTATTGCAATATCAAGAGTCTAGAGATAGGCCGTCATTCCTGCGGGAATCATTATCTGATCTATTTTTCTTTCGTGAAGAAATGTCTTCATGTCTTAAGTGCGGTGAGTGCTGGCTGCATCCCAGACTAGCAGACCTCTTTGGCTCCCTCGCATAACAAGCAGCAGCATTAAATCGACCCACTTCCTTATAACTGCTTGTGTGGCCCAGGCTTTTTCAGTTTCAAGAATAAAACCGCCCCAAACACGTTCAATCTTTTCCTTCTTGCCTTTAGAAACGATTAAAGGTGGGATTTTAGTGTCAACCAGATGAATTGCCAAAATACAGGAAACAAGTGCACTTTCTTAAGCAGTGGAGGGAATGTACACTAAGGAGGCACTCCGCTGTTCAATTGTTTGAGATGATTGGCCCATAAACACTTCAGTTTCATCCATAGCAATCATGTTGGAAAGACTGTATTTAGAGAAGTCAGCATCATCAATAAAGGACTTGAATGCAAGTGCTTGCTTAATAACTTGAGTATCTTCCAACCTAAACAATGTTGTATTGGTAGATGTGCTTGCCTAATAACTTGAGTATCTTCCAACCTAAACAATGTTGTACTGGTAGATCTTCTTAAAGACAGTTCACTTCGCTGAAGGAAATTATCTAGCCAGTGTTGTGATGCTTTGAAGTCTTCAGGGGCTATGTCAAACTGTGGTGCCATTGCAAGGGCAAATTCTTGAATCTGAGCCCTATTCACAACCAAAGCCATTGCTCTCCTGTCAACAACCCATTCACAGATCAGGTCTTCCAGCTTGGAAAATAATGGTTGCTGACCTGATCCACACTTGTGCTTTTTAGCATTTCCCTTGTCCACTTGTTCAATGAGGTAACCATACTCTGCTTGCTATTTTTGGACCAATAGGATACTCAACATCTTCTCTTTGCAGAAAGTAGTAAGATTTTGGCCCCAAGAGTCTTCCACGATTCCTTTCTTGTACTCCATGGAGTAGTTTTTCTTTTTGCGCTCATTTCTAGGGTAAAAAAAAGAAATTGGGGTATAAAGGTGGGGGGAGGGGGATCACTTAAAATGACACAGGGGGGATCAGAGGGAAGAATCAAAATGGCACAGGACAATCAGAGGGAGGATTACCATTTTAGTAACCCCTTTTAATCCTCCTGTGTCATTTTGATTGCCCACTTTGATCCTCCTGTGTCATTTTAAGTGATCCCCCTTCCCCCACCCCTGTGCCACTGAACACTTTCACCAGATATCCCTCCTACTCCTTTATCAGACATTTACTCCCTGGGGCCTGCCTGGGGACTGTCACTGGGCTTGCTGGGGCCTGGATCTGGGCTGGAGCAGGGTCTGCCATTGACTGAGAACCTTCAGTCAACATGAGGGCAGCCGCGAGCATCAGGTAGTATCACCAGAGACAGACCAGCACTCACCACCTTTGCAGAGTCCCGTCTGCTCTAATCCTCCTGTTCTTCTACACGCATCTGCGAAAGTCTCCTCCTCTCTCCCGCCCTGCGCTCACCGCTCACTTCGACCTTCGCTCTGCCTCCACACAGCAGTGACTTCAGAACTCCACGTAATGTCACTGGTTGCTAGACACAGTCGGGGCGGCCCTAGCAACCAGTTTACGGTAAATTAATTTTCATTCTGAGACAGAGCCTTATTTTCGGGGGGATGCCTTATATTTCAGAAGGAAACCTGTAAGTAGGTCTTATTTTTGGAGGATGTTTTATTTTCGGGGAAACACGGTGTGTGTGTGTGTGTGTGTGTGTGTGTGTGTGTGTGTGTGTGTGTGTGTATATATATATATATATATATATATATATATGGGTTTTTTTGTTTGTTTGTTTTCCCCAGTCAGTGCATGTTTAATTTCTAGTTGGTCCTTTTTCATATATTCAAGGGTCTGGCTAAATTTATCGGCTTTTTCTAGGAAATTCTTGAAAAACCTTATAACCATGGTTTTGAATTTTATATCCAGTCATTTGTTTTCCTCCATTTCTTTTGTTTGTGATCTGTTTCTTTGTCTCTGCATTTTCGCTGCTCACCTGAGATTGTAGGGTAGCTTTGTGTGCTAGGTTTCCTATATGGTCCAAGGTGTCAGCCTCCCCAGTCACCTGAGGTAGACACTTTTGGTGTACCCCTTTATGGTCTGTGTGTAGAGCTTTGTTGTAGTTAAGTCTTGATTGTTGTTGGTATCACTCAGAGGAATTGACCCTCAGGCCAATTGGCTATGTGTATCAGCTGTTTCTACGCCTTGAGACCTGTGCTGAAGACAGCCTCATTGGACCAGACTTGCAAAATTGCAAAAGCCTCTGTGCTCAGCTTGGATGGGGCAGAGTCTCAGGGCTGAGCAGACAGTCTTTGCTTCCTATCAGCCCTGTCCTTGCATGTGTGCCTCCAGACCTTTGCCTTCCACAGCTCCCCTGATTTTTTGCCTGACAGTCCAGATTCCCCCAGGTTTCTTGGAACTGGGGTTCAGTGCAATGAGGGGCTTCCTTCCCTCTCCTATCAGAGAAACCCAGCCAGGCACTCAGCTACCCTTCCTCTCTGTGCACATGTCTCTGTACCTCAGTCCTTTGCAGCTCCTCTGATTCTCCGTGTGCTTTCCTCTTTCTTTCTTTCTAGTTGTAGAATTTTTACTCAGCCAGCTTTCCTGTGGTTCTGGATGATGTTCATTCTGTCTTTTAGTTGTAGTTTTGAAATTGTTGTGTGAGGCAGCAGTTTAGATGTTTTTCTGTGCTGCCATCTTGGTTTTTCCTGGGCAGCCCATTTCTTTATTTCTTCTTTTTTTTTTTTTAAAAAAAATATTTTATTGATTTTCTTTTTACAGGGAGGAAGGGAGAGAGATAGAGAGCTAGAAACATCAATAAGAGAGAAACATCAATCAGCTGCCTCCTGCATACCCCCCACTAGGAATGTGCTCGCAACCAAGGCACATGCCCCTAAACAGAATCGAAAGCAGGACTCTTCAGTCTGCAGGTCAACGCTCTATCCACTGAGCCAAACCAGCATTCAGCATTGGATGGGCAGACCTTTTCATATCTCCATATTTCCTATCATTCTTCACGTGGCTTCTTTTTTAAATCCTTGGTTATAAGATTTCTTTTCATCTAGTCTTCAGTTGATTATTCAGGATGATTGTTCTATAACTTAGTTGTAATTTACAATGAGATGAGTGTAACTTCCACTTATTCTGTTGCCTTCTTGGATCCTTGTCTAATTATTGTTTTATGTATAGGCAATTTTATATTAATTATGCTTTGAGGAACTCATATCTCTCTCTCTAGCTTCAAGCCAGTAATCACACATCAAATCCTTCTTGTGCTTAGAACCTCTGACTCTCTCTCCTGATACCAACTGGAGAAAATGTTGCTTTTAAAGGATTTATGTTAGCAGATTAGGCCAATGTGATTAATATCCTTGATTAGTAACCTTAATTCCATATGCAAAATTCTTTTTGCCATGTAATGCAACATAATCACATGCATGCATTCTCATCATATTCATAGTCCTGACAATTAAGGTGGGAAATCTTGGAAGAGAATTTTAGGAGTTTGCCTACCATGGTGATATTCAGTCTGTTTAACAAACTGGACCCATAAGCATGCATTCAAGCAATAGCACTGGAGGAGGGGCATGGCAAACACCTTATGTTCCAAATGTTGCCCTTCACTTCCTACAGTTTGAGGTGGTCTGGTCGGTGGCATCAGAAATTGACTATCTGGAGTTGAAGCTGTTTTCCAACTGGTTTGGAGATATTTTATTATTTTAACAACTGGGTGCCATATCAATGCATAGCAGTTGGTTATCTGCCTGGTTAGAGGGTTACAAATCATTGTGTAGTGTGTGAAGTACTGCCATCTTCTCTGTGTTTTGAGAGGTTGTGGTTAGTCCCAGATGATGGGGAGAGGGTGGGAAGACCACCTGCCCTCTTTGCCACTTTGATGGTGTGCAGCATCTTTTCCTAGCACTTTGTTTTATTTTGGTAAAAATATTTTTAAAATTTATTTTTAGAGGGAAAGGGAAGGAGAGGGAGAGGGAGAGATAAACATTGATGTGAGGGTGTGGAGGGCCCTGGGGATGGTGGGTAGGTTCCAGTCTATGTCCTCGCCTCTGGCCTCCTGCAACATATCTGCCCCCAGAGCAAAGGAGGGGACGCCCTGGGGCTTTTTCTTTGCAGAGCACTGCCCAGCCCAGGAGGTTTGAGCTGAGGGAGAGGCAGGATGCCCTGGAGCCTGTGAACCAGCTGCAGGTGAGGTGGTGGGGCTCAGATCCCTGACCCCACTAGCAGGGAGGGTGTATGCTTGAGGCCCCACCACCCATGTCTTCACTGCTACCTGCCGAGGCCCTTCCACCCTTGGGTCCTGGATTCCACGTGGCCTGGCATCCACGTGGCCATTATTGCCCTCAGTGCTGGCCTTGGGGGAAGGGCGTGTGTCCCCCACTCTCCCTGAACCTACTTGTTCTCTGTGCTTAGGAGACCCCAGACCCCTGGCAGAGCCTGGACCCCTTCAGTTCCCTGGACTCTAAGCCCTTCAAGAAAGGTAATTGGGTAGAGGGACAGCTATACCCAGTGTCTATGGCTGGGTTCATGGGTACACGGGTGGTGAGTGGGGTGTGCCCTATACCCACGGGGAGCCTGGTGGGGCTGCTCCCTCGTGTGATGGATCCCAGGGGGTGTAGGCACTGGGATCTTCCCCAGGGTCTGCAGTGGTGCCCGAGACAGTCCGTTTGCCCCCCAGGCAGACCCTACTTCGTGCCTGCCTGCGTGGAGGAGGTTCCGGGACAGAAGCACAAGAGGAAGGGTGCCACCAAGCTGCAGGACTTCCACCAGTGGTGCCTGGCCACCTGTGAGTGGGTGTGTGGGCTGATGATGGAGATGTGATCTGTGCACTCACAACTGAGGTGCTGTGAGTAAGAGGGAATCTATTGCCAAACCACACAGATATTTCTCTTGTCAGAGAAAAAGATCTTCTTGCACCCACATATCCTTCCATTTCTTATCGAAAATTTAGTTCCATTATAATCCTACTAGAAGCCCAGTGAATGAAATTTGTTCATGGGGGGAGGGGGCGGTTCCCCTCAGCCAAGCCTTCACCCTCTCCAATTGGGACACCTTTGGAAATGTCCAACTGCCAGTTTAGGCCCAATCCCTGAGATCGGGCCTAAACCAGCAGTCAAACATCCTTGTCACAATCTGGTTCCTAACTGCTTACATGCCTGCTGACCTGGTCACCCCCAACTGCTCCCCTCTGCCAGCCTAGTTACCCCTAACTGCCTCTGCCTGCTGGCTTGATTGCTCCTTAATGCCCCCCCTGTTGACCTGGTCACCCTTAGGTGCCCACCCGCTAGTCTGGTTGCCCCCAACTACCAGCTGCTGGCATGGTAGCCCCCAAATGCTCTCTCCACCACCACTGGCCTGGTCACCCCCAACTGCCTCTCCTACTGGCCTGGTCTCCCCATGCAGCCTGCTGTTCAGTCATTTGGTGGTCCCTCACTAATCCTCCTCCCCCTGCTAGCTTTGTCACCTCACGCAGCCTGCAGTTCAGTTGTCTGTCTGGTTGTTTCAGTTGTGACAGCTCCTGGCTTTTTATATATTAGGATGGAACCACCATCTTTTATGTGGTCTATTGTTGACAAAAATGTTGTTATGGGACTTGTGACTGGATGTCAATTGTATATTGATAAAGCTGGGGTGGGGCGGGGGGAAGACCATGCATTCTATTTCCCCCAATTTTTGGATAAAGAAACTGAGGCTCCTGAAGGAAAAATTACTCAAGGTCACACAGTTATAATTGACAGAACTAGGACTAGAATGCCTGCTCTACTAATTCTTAATATATTTCAATATATTCCTGTGCCTTCTCCCCCAATTAAGCACCCAAGATCTTAACAATCCTAGTAGATAATTTTATATCCTGATTTTTACAACTCTCCAATGAAAGAAATGCTACAAATCAAATCACCTAGAAGAATATATTTCATTAGAAGCCTGGTGCATGGATTTGTGCACAATGGAGTCCCTTGGCCTGGCCTGCACCGTCTCACAATCTGAGACCCCTTGGGGGATGTTGGATTGCTGGTTTTGGCCCAATCACTGCATGCCAGGCGAGGGGATCCCACTGGTGCATGAATCTGTGCACTGGGCTTCTAATATGCATATAAGGTCTTTGGTTAATCTCTTCCCACCCTCCCCTGACTTCCCTCTGAGATTCATCAGTCTGTTCCATGTTTCTATGCCTGTGTGTTGAGCATCTTCCACCTGGTGGTCAGTGTGTATCATAGCTACTGGTTGAAAGGTTGAACAGTTGAATGGTCAAACAGTTGCTTAGGCATATATATCTATTGCCATTTATGATTAGGAAGTTCTTCCCTACATATAACTCAAAAATTTCCCACTATAACATAAATCCTTTCTTCTTTTGTCTGTATTTAATGAAAATGGATCACAGATGTTTACTATCACTAATAACATTTATGAAATATGTGTGTACACATGTGTGCCTGTACAGACATACCTTGGAGATATTGTAGGTTTGGTTCCAGACCACTGCAATAAAGTGAATATTGCAATAAAGCAATCATAGTATTTTTGCTGGTGCAGGGTCCTATCTCCAATTTGTAAAAAAATGAAACATTTGTGAAGCACAATAAAACAAGGTATGCCTGTAGACACATTCACACACACACACACACACACACACACAACCAAAAATTAAGCTTATTTTCTATAGGCTAAATGACTTCTCAGAGGCAAACCAAGACAGAAAAATAGCACCTATTAAGGAATATAAGACTTGGGTCTTTTTATTCTGTCCCTTTAATGCTACAGCAAAACCTTGAGCAAGAGATGAACCCATGGGGTGACTTAGCATCTTAATATTAACTAAATATACCAATTCACTGATATCCAACTAAATAGAACCTCTGATAGCCAGAACTTCTTTGTTATATATTTACTTTGGCTTTGCAAAACAAGGCAGGGCCCAGACTGATCTCATATCCTATACCTTTGACATTTCTATTGTAGTTTAGAGCAAGAAATATTGCTGATCTAAAATGGTATGTGATGGTGGAAAAATATTCATCTATGGACTCTGCTTAAGAGCATCTTATAGTGAAATACAGTTGTTCATATATCTTTGATCAAGAACATAGCCAGCCGAAGCCAGTTTGGCTCAGTGGTGGAGCGTTGGTCTGCGGACTGAAGGGTCCCAGGTTCGATTCCGGTCAAGGGCATGTACATTGGTTGCGGGCACATCCCCGGTAGGAGGTGTGCAAGAGGCAACTGGTCGATGTTTCTATCTCATCGACATTTCTAGCTCTCTATCTCTCTCCCTTCCTCTCTGTAAAAAATCAATAAAATATATTTAAAAAAAAAAAGAACATAGCCACTCTGTCTAAGAAGGTTGTCCTTGTCAGTGGAATGCTCAGTTTTGGGAGAAAGATGATTGCAGTAAAGAGAGAGATAAGGCCCTGTTTCCTGGAGAACTGGATCGGTTAGTGGGGTGACATATTGTACAAAATTGTACTCAGACCTCCTGAGCTCTCTTTACAAAGACAAGAAAACAGATTTAGAGATTTAAAAATATTTTTATCAGATAATCAAAAACCTTATTAAGTAGAACATCTTTTAGATTTCTGAGATTCAATGGACTGAGAGTCCAAACTAAGTTGTCTTGGAAATAAATAATTCAATCTAACAACTAAGAAAGCTAATGTAAAATAAATTAAGAAGACAGATTGCCAATGTGACCCCCTGAAACCACCTTAGTAAAGGGAATCACCCTTGTAAAACAAAGCTACTCACGGCAATAAGCTGGTAGGAGTTGTTCATCATAGCTATCAGCATGTTCAGCAGCACTACCAGAGAGATGACGTTGTATGTCCCAAACATGGTAGCTCCCACAAACTCTGTGAACTCATGTCTGGCTTTTACATTGGTAACATAGAGATTTAAAAGTCCAAATACAGACCAGAAGAGTGACTGAAGGGTTTCAAAGAGCCTAAAGAGAGAAAAGAGCAGGTTAGTTAATTCTTAAGGAAGAGCAAGATGAGAAAATGTGAGGTGATCTGCTTAATAAGGAGGCTGCCATATTTGCATCCAAACAAGTAGACTGATTATCTCACATATTTTGGCCTCTTCCCCATCTCAAACCAGCTAGATCAGTTTGTTTGTTTATTCTCATTTCTTCTTATGCTTTGTCTTTCCACCTATACCATCTCCCTCTTCTTAGTCTATGCAGAACTATAGCATTACAAGACTTACTTGAAAGGCTGAAGACTTCTGCCACCAAACTTCCACTCTCATCTTCAGAACATATGATTTACCATCAGTCTAATTACATAGAGGGAGAAATACAGTGGCACTTGCATTATGGTGCTTGGATTATATTGCTTTGGATTAAAATGTCAACTCTGACATTTGCTTGTTGAGTGAACATGAGCACTTATCATTTCTAATACTTCTATTGTGATTCCCACAGCTCCTAGGATGGTGCTCAACTCAGTTGAGGAGCTTAAGGATTTTTTAATTAATATGTTATATGGGTTGTTTTAAATGTTACATTAATAATTATTGAGTACTATAAATGCATACTAAGTACTTTACATACATTATAATTATGATCCATATAAAAACTTTGTTACTTCTGAGAAAACAGAGGTTCAGAGATTGAATGACTTCCTTATGGTCACCCAGCTATAAGTGTTTATTAACTATTTGACTTTGGAAAAGTTACATAGCCACTTTAAACTTCAAGTTTCCTGATTTCCAATAGTTGTTGATAGGATAAATACCAATTGTTAATATTTGTTGTGATCTTACTATATGGCAGGCACTGTGGTGTTTTCAATGTATTATAATATTTGATTCTCAGAATAACCCTATGAAGTAGATACTATTTTGATTTTCAAATGAGAAGCTGAGGTACAGAGTGGTCACACAGGCAGTAAGAGGTAGGATTTGCACCCAGTTCTTCTGACTCTGGAGCCCACACACTTAATCACCTTACTGTATCACATAAGATACTGCACCCAACACAGTTTCTGGGATATTGTTAGCATTAAAAATGGCAGTTATTCTAATTGTTTGCCTGTACTTTCCACTAGACTATGCACTTCTTGAGGCTAAGGATGCCATCTTACTCAATATGTTCATTGCTTGGCACAGAGCAGTTACTGAATAAATGTTTGTTGAATAACTATAAAAGATGACAGGTGAAAATAACTAAAGAAAGTACAAATGAATGGCACCACCCTGTGATGATCGTATTACTAGTAAGAAGGCTATGCACTGAAATTAAGGGAGAAAGCTGAAGACAATCAACAAGAACATTTAATATCTGGTCAGAAAAAAAAGAAAAGCCTTTGAGGGAACTAAGTTTTTATCCATGTAAATAATGTGGGAAAATATGGACTAAATGTTAGTAGAGAAATCAACATTGATTAGGAATAGCCATAAATGAATGTTGATAGTCTACAAGGAGGTTGCAAATGACCTGCTAGGTCACAGTTCTGTGCTATTTAGCTATACATGCATTTTTAAAAATATATATTTTATTGATTTTAGAGAGTAAGGGACAGGAAGAGGGAGATAGAAAAACATTAATGAAGAAAGAGAATAATTGATCGGCTGCCTCCTGATGCCTCCTATTGGGGATCAAGCCTGCAACCTGGGCATGTGCACTTTACTGGAATCAAATCTGGGACCCTTCAATCTGTAGGCCAACACTCTATCTACTGAGCCAAACCAGCTAGGGCTGCGTTTGTGATTATTGTATTTTTACACAATGAAGTTTACATGGCTTTACAAAACCAGTCTTATACTTGCATCAAGAGTAAAGGAGACTGGAGCATT